CCCCAAAACCCCAAAACCCCAAAACCCCTGATCTTTGAAGTTCCTTTGAATATCCAATTAAATATTTATTATATTTTCTATGATTTTAGTATCATTGGAGCTGCCAATCAAATCACAATTATGATCATTCCGACCACATCTGTTGAGACGAAGTGATAATGAAATATTAGGATATCTGCTAAGAGAGTGAAAACATTCTCAAGATAACTTATAGGAGCCATTTTTGAAGCTAGAGAGTATTTGTTTGCTATGTTCATTGTTATCAATCCTGTGACAGCTGTAGTTCCTACCAAGGATAAAAGGATCAAATTGACAGAGTCATATAGCTCAAAATTTAGCAAATCTCTTTTAAATATGAAGACCAATAAAGTCTGAAAACAAGTAGCTATTCCAAAGTATAAAGGGGAGATTATCAGCGGCAAATTCATATTGTTCAGTGCTCTCAAAAACACAAATACTGATCCATAAGTCACTGCAGACAGAAGTGTCAGAGTGTAGCCTAGTAATTCACGAGAGTCTTCCTTCACTTCATCAGATTGGTTTAGAGTTAAGAGGTAGATACCTAAAAACGCACCTATTGTTGACCCGATGGATATTAGAGTGATCCTTTCCTTGAGAAAGATAGCAGCTGCTATAGCACAGAAGAGCGGATTTAGTGAGAAAATCAATACACCTTTGCTTATGGGGATAAACCTGAGACCGTTACTGATGAAGATGTCTAGTAGGACTCCTCATAGGAGTCTTCCAGACATGATCTTAACTACTTGGGAACCATAGTTGAAAATATTCATATCCACACCAGTCACCAATCCGTATCCAAAATAAAAAGCAAAGGTGAAATAGCCAAAGAATGAAATTGTATCGAATCCAGTGATCTCTGGTGTTCTCCAATAAATTAATTTCATGCATAAATGGTGAAGAGACCATGAAAGAGTGGCTAAAGTCATGAAAAAGAAAGCCTTTAAGTATGCATATTTATCCTCATCCTCTAAATGTAACCCACTGCTGTTCAAAAATCTTCTGCTGTTCTGGGGTACCTCATCATCTTTTTGACATGAAACTTCAAAGCTATGCGAATATGCTGAAAGCTTGTTGTATCCTTGATCTTTTTCTTCATTGTTTGAAGTCATTTTTATAGTGTTGATTTATCAAAATTTTTAATTAGTATCAATATCTCTTCCAAATGCCGGGGTTTTGGGGTTTTGGGGTTTTGGGGTTTTGGGGTTTTGGGG